TGATCCCAATTTTTTGGGTACCCAATCAGTTCGTAGCAACGCGACTTCGAGTGCCCGGTCATTCCACAGTGATCACAAACATAACGAGGGACGCCTCCTCCTTTCCCAGCAGCGAGGGCAAACACGTGATCCTTGGGCGCTTCTCGGTCTCGAATCACGGATCGTTGGCATTCTTCTTGGATTATCCGAGAATACGCTTTGTTGATGGTGGGGAGGCGTTCCATGATAAGAATTTGAGAACGAACGACACCATAGGACTCCGCATCAGCATCTCGGACTCTCGTTCGGCCGCAAGCCTTGCGGTCACGCCACAAGTTCACCCGGCGCAGGTGCACACGACCACATCATTGTAGTCGATGAGTTCGTCCCAAAGGCCCTTCAGTTTCGTGCAATATTCGGTCAGAGCAAGTCCATTTTTGCGAAGCAGACTAATCTCCGCCTTCAATTGATGAATGTGTGGTACATTGCCTTGTGAAAAACGCTCCTTTAATTCGTCCCACATAGCCCGAGCGTCGGCTGTATGTACGACGCTGTGCTGCAGCGATTTCTCAAGAGAATTAAGGATCCAAGAGGCAACCAAGCTATTGCCCATTTCCCACCAATGAAAATCGGAATGGTCACTGTCGGTTTTTTATGGAGCCATCAACGAAGCCTACTTTGTTCTTCGCTTCTAGAGCATGCCTCACAGCCTTGGCCCATATCGAGTAATTCTCGCCGGTGAGAATAACTTGTATCAGTGGATTTCTCGGGCTATCGAATAGGTACATATACAATGGGGAGCCGATCAGCGGCACCTTGATCTGGTTGGCCATGGCAACGGCGGCTAGTGTGGCAGCGAGAGTTTCGTGTTTTAGAAAAATCTCTCTGATACCATATGAAAAAAAAAGAATTGTGTAAATTTTATTTCTTACTCAATAGTTACAAAGGTTTAGATATATATAATACAAGAGTTGACTCCTCTCCAAGAAACTACCTAATATACAAGAAAGACGATAAATATCCAGGATTTTATCTTATCACAAGAGTATCATGTAGATCTCGAATGATATCCCGAATAACACCAACGGTCAGTTACTGTTTAAAGAAAATCGGGTTAACCCTAATTTTATGTACATTTGAAGGGCAAGTCAAATGCTTGAGCATACAAATTGCTAACCCGAGCTCAAGTTTGAACTTGAAGTGCTCAAGCTCGAGTCAAGACTCTAGCGTTTTGCAACTCTACATAATAGTATATAGGGATGAGCAAAACTGAGTTGAAACCAAAAAAACGAGCCGAACCGATGTATTCGGTGCAGTTCGGTTCAGTTTTTGAAGAGTTTGGTTAACGATGTGATTTGGATTTTGTATAAACGCAAAGAATTCACTGCAGTTCGATTTTGTGACCGAAATGTGCAATTTTAACCGAACTGCATTGAATATCATAAATAGTCACTTTATTTTTATTCTTTACATACACATACACAAGCAATGATAACACGCTTGTAATTATTTGTACAAACAATGAACAAATAACAACATTACATAAACATTTATATTTAGAACTTAAAAGAAAAAATTCCAATTTTATTGTCTCAGTCGCATGCAGCACGCTCTCACGTCTCAACTCTAGAGCTCTCAACCCACCGACGCTCTCAATCCCTCACTCACAGGGGCGTAGCCAGGATTAAAAGTTGACCTGGGCTATAAATATTTTAGTAAAGCGTGACAATATTGCAAATAGACATATTCAAGGTTTGTAAATGAACCGCCAAACAGGCAGTTCGGACCGTCGATCAATTGTTCAATTCTATTGACAGTAGTTCCTATTAAGATTTGGCAGTTCGGCTACGAATTGCAAAATGCCAGAACTGTAATAGAATGTTGGGTTATAAAAGAGAAGAAAAATTGAAATTTTTAGGAGGGCAACCAAAAATAAATAAAAATCAAAGGTTATTGCCCGGTACTTATTCCCCTGTTGGGGGCGTTTCTATTCTCCTGTGGGGAGCGATCGTAGTTGGTGTGTTTGTGTCTGTTAGTTGTGTGTTTGTTTTTTCTATTCTAGTGTAGCTAGCGAGGTTCTAGGCGGACTTTGAATCCGTGCTCTCAGTCTCTAGTTCCGGGTTGTATTATTCAGTCTTGGGCTGCTTTTGCACAGTTGTGCGTTTTGATTTATAATATCTCTATCGTTTTGGCAAAAAAGAAAAAAAAGGTTATTGATTTCTTGAAATTCGAAAAAAATAAATGGTTGAAAACTGTCTAATCCGAATGCTTTTTAAAAAATTCAATAGTTCTAAAGAATTTTTTAGAACAATAATTAAAAACTGACAGTTCTAATCAAAACCAACAGTTCAGACGGATCGTAACAGTAATCTTCGGTTCAACAACCAACTAGAAAGCATCAAAAGCTAGTTATTATTACTGTTTAGAGTTTTTAACTAACTGTAATCGATTATAAATTTGTTGTTTTATAACCGAGGACGTGTGTAATTAATAAAAAATGCATATTTACGTTATTAAATCCCCTGTGTTGATCATAAAAATTTAGCCTTCATCGATTTTTAATCCAACAAATGGTATTGATATTTGAATGGGTGCAAGAGAAAAATAAAAGTTAAAAACAAAACCATAATAGATCTA